ACTCATGGCTATCCGAAGGCAGACATTTCGCCCGCCATTATTGGTTGCTTGCAAAGATTGGACGCCGGAGCCGCGAGGATTTCCCACGCACTGGAGGAACTGTACATGTGTAGCCTGGGGGGTTTTATTACTCGGGATATGATTGTGACCTTGACCTGGCCTCCCAGATTGCCCTAGACAATAACATGGGCTGGTCGTGGTCGCTGGGACGCTGGTATCTCACAGCCGATCTACGTCCATTGAGCGAGCTAAAGCCTCACGGCCCAAACGCGCTGATCTTGACACACCTGATTATGGGGATACAGCCAGTAGAGGCGTCAGATGCCTTGCGGTGGAAGTGTGCCCGTCATGACGGGTCAAGATCAGCTTCTCGCAATGTTCGCAAAGCAGTGAAAATGACGGCGCATATGCATTCCTTTTGTTTCTCGAAAACGCCCGACCAAGGCAGTCGTGGCCTTGCTCCTAAACTTCGGGCGACTTACGCATTTTCCCCAGGAAAACCTCGACCATGCAGGACTCGGATTTTGCTGTTACGTACATCCCCGCCAAATGTCGCCAAATGTCCCAAACTCTGAACCGCTGCGTGAGTGGCACCCAGTCATAGGTTAATCGCGAGCAGGCAACGGCTGTCCGAAACCAGGTCCCTCTCCCAGCATGTCGCCAACCTGAGAAGCGAAAGTTTGTGCAAGGCGGGGAATAATGATGAGAACGGGAACTGTATTCATAGTGATGACTATTACGAATTGGATATATGACTGGGGCATGGTCCTCCATGAATGCTGCTCAATACGTATCCTTTTGGCATAATTGAACGGCTCGAAGGTTACGGCTTTGTGAAAGCTGCCACCAAGGCTTTCAGCTATCCTCCCCTCAATATCTGCAAGCAGGTGGGCAGGAGCTTCAAGCCCCAGAAACTAAAGAAACCCTCTGTTTGTACACAGAGACATAGTGAGAAGCGGGTTTTACTCCAAAATTCGTTCTTACAGGCTTGTGTCAGTATTTCATGTCGGGCTTGTACCCGCCAAGCTGGTGGTCAGAAAGCCATAGAGGCTTCGGCTCCGTCTTCTTAGTTTGCCTGAGAGTTGAGTCAGGTTTGGTATTGTAGTGGTCTCATAAAGCTCCAATGTTTCCTCATCATTGACATAACCGTGGCAAGCAACGTGATGGTTTTCGTCGTCATTCTGTCTGTCCTTGAAGCAAATTTTGATGTGACCACCCAGGGCATCAGAGCGTGGTTTGGACAGAGTAAAAAGATCTTCCGCCCCAAGTCCGCAGGCAGTGGATAGTAGGTATGCGGTCAAACACATCTAAGTTCTGGCCCTTCACAGTTCTTATATACACGTTCTCGTAGTCCCTAGCCCCTGATTAGCCCTGGGCTCTGTGGCTCCCCGGCGGCATACCGACAGCTTTTTACCACATATTTTACTTGGTACGTTTCTGGGTACCGATTTATGACTAAATAATGATGATCAGTTTCAAAATACTCTTCCGGTGCCATCGCCTTCAGCTTTTATGGAGGATTGCGAACTATTCTTTGACCTTAGGTTCAATTAGCATCTCTTCTCCTCCCTCAGGGCGGCTACACGCTAAGAATCTGGGCCTGCAACTTGATGGACTCTGCCGGTGCTGGTTTAGACTACACGCAATGTCGGCCCCGGTGAGTGTGACATTGCAGGTGCTGAAGATCAAGGTGCCATCGATTGAGGCCCTTCGGCCCACCTTCGCTTTCCGAAGCTAACAGCAGCTCAGGTACCTCTATCCGGTGCAACGAGACATTGATGTGTTGGGCGGAACCTACGATGAACATGTGCTGCAGTTTGTCTGAAACTTGTCGTCCTCAACACCTCTCACCGACTCTTTCCGGTACCGCGCTTCGTCAAGCACACTCCTTGTCTGGTGGAGAAAGTTGAAAGCAAGACCGGATGAATACTTAGCATGTACACAACGCCAGCACTGCTGTCAACCGGCTCAATCGTTCGGGCAGATTAACACTGACACTGCTCAAGGATGTCTCTCCGACTTACTGTACCTAAGAGGGTGACCCTTCCTGCGCAATGTCCTCAAAGTCGGAGGTAGCAGACACGATGTTTAGCCGTACTTTCTGGGCGCAAGTCTCTGTATCCCTGCCTGGCGGATGACAGCCAAGTCAGGGACTGTCAGTGTTGTTGCATCGAGCATTTGTCCGGTGACAATTGTTTGACCACGCAGCGTGCCTCATTTGTGCACGCAAGGGCTGCTGCAAGGACTACCGACTGCATGATGGTGAGGAAGTCATGACGACTCTCCATGTTCCAAGGTCGATCTCTCTCAGTGTGTCACCAGACTTGGGGGCCACGGCGGCCGTCAACGGTGACGAGTGAAGTAGTGAGACCTGCGGCGCTAGTCCCAATACGTCCTGACGGATGAGACGTCGGCCCACCACATCGTCAGCCTCTGGGCCTGGATCCTTGTCCAGGAACTGGAAACCTGGAGATGGGATGGATAGTTGTTTGGTTGTTAGGACACTTTCCCCATTATTGTCTTCCAGCCAGATGGACAAGACGGACTAGCGAACCCGATCTGCGGGTTCAGCCTACGCTCTGTATTGTGGAGGAAGCCAGAGGCAATGCGCCCCTCCATGCCTACCTAGGTACAGTCATGCGACCAAAAAAACGACGGATTTCCGTTCCCACACGAAAACACATAGTTTTCTTACCTCTATTACTAACTCTATAGATCACTATAAATAATGATTCTAATAATACGAGTAGAACTTTACTGAATCTATAGCGTCTATTACTTAGATTACGAATAGCTATTTTATTTATTTTAGATAAGTGTTTTGAAAGTTAAATCAGTATTTTTTCATAACGGCAATCCGTCGTTCGTTTCGTCTCCCCACTGTACGTTAGGGAAGGCCCCAGAGATTTCCCGTGGCTGGCCGAGTCTTCGCTCAGACAGCAGTGGGCAGCACATTACATAGCAGGACTCGCTGGCTGCGCTGCATGACTTGTCTGGGGTCGGGGGGGGGCGTGAAGACTGACGCCGTCTTGATCGATACCGACGCTAACAGCTGGCTCGATGATTTCGCTGGACGTTACACAGCAGGCTGGGTCGATAGGGGCCTGTGTTAACCTGTGCTCTAGTCCAGATTCTGGAGTCTCCATCTGGTCTGGGATGTGACCAAGGGACTAGCAAAGAACTAGGAAAAATGGAGAAGGCTTCTTGATGAACGAAATGGCCTCGTCTAATGAGATTATCTGTATTACCCACCCTGCACCTAAGGTACTATGTAGGTACCTAATAAAGTACCCAAGGTACCTACCTGGTAGGAGGTACAGTGCAGCTAGCGCCCACATCTCCATGCTTTGGCGCTGGCCGGACCTGTCACTGCGTTTGCAGCGCCGCTGTACGTGTACCTGCTGCTGTACCTGCTGCTGTACCTGCTGCTGCACTGCATCCCTGCATCCTCTACCTCTACGCCTCCTGCTGCGGCGCGACGGCCTCGTCATGGACGCGTGAACCTTTCTCATGTTCCTTTTCCTGCTGTCCCAACTCTCCGCACCAACCGACCGAACCTTGGCTGATACCCTCCTCTTTTGGGCCTGCATTCCAAGTCCAGTCTTCCCCTCTTTCCAACAAAGACGTCAGTCGTTTTCCTTCGTTTCCTGGGGTTTCTGCCGGCTTTCATCCACCCCCTCGCTGTTTCAATTGGCCCTCTGGTTCGCTCTTAGTACATGCATGGTACATGATAGCCCCGTGACCGTTCCTCCACCCCCCCCTAATTCGGAAATCCATCTCCTTGTCCACCAACTCATCCCATCGGCCTTTCGCTCCGTCCTGTACGCCCCAACGGAACCCTCGACAACACTCCTCTGCGTGGAGCCTTCTGCAAACACGACCGCGGTACATGGCTGTGCGATTCCCCGACATGAGAAATACGGTTGAAGGCCTCAATGGCGCTGGCGGCGCGGTCTATGTCAACGGCAACGGCAACGGCAATGGCAACGGCATGACTAACGGCAACGGCGCCCTGTCGCATCGACAAAAGATGAACCGCAAGGCCTCGAGCCCCATGGCCCCCGCCTTCATGGTCTCTGCGCCGGGCAAGGTCATCGTCTGTGGTGAGCACGCCGTCGTTCACGGCAAGGTGCGTCTCTGGTCTCTGTCGAACCAGCGTCTTGTCGACCTACTTTGCTAACCAAACCTGCCTGCCCCCCTCCTTCAGGCCGCCATCGCTGCCGCCATCTCGATGCGATCCTACCTCCTCGTCACCTCGCTCTCTAAATCCAGGAGAACCGTCTCCCTACGCTTCCCCGACATCGATCTCGAACACACATGGAACATTGACGACCTGCCATGGCCCCTCTTTCACAGCCCCGAGAAGAAAAAGTTCTACTACAGCCTCGTCACGGACCTCGACCACGAGCTCGTCGAGGCCATGCAGCCGCACCTCGTCGGAATCTCGCCCGACAAGCCCGAAGAGCTGCGCAAGGTGCACCAGAATGCGGCCTCGGGCTTCCTCTACCTCTTCCTGTCCCTCGGCCACCAGTCGTTCCCCGGCTGTCTCTACACGCTACGCTCGACCATCCCGATCGGCGCCGGCCTCGGCAGCAGCGCCTCCATCGCCGTGTGCGTGGCGACGGCGCTGCTGCTGCAGCTGCGCACGCTGTCGGGCCCCCACCCCGACCAACCGCCGGACGAGGCGCGGCTGCAGATTGAACGCATCAACCGCTGGGCCTTTGTCTACGAATTATGCATCCACGGCAACCCGTCGGGCGTCGACAACACCGTGTCGACGCAGGGCAAGGCCGTCGTGTACCAGCGTCCCGACTACACGAAGCCGCCCGTCGTGCGGCCGCTGTGGGACTTTCCCGAGCTGCCGCTGCTCCTCATCGACACGAAGCAGTCCAAGTCGACGGCGCGCGAGGTGGCCAAGGTGGCCAAGCTGAAGGACACGCACACCAAGCTCGTCGGCAGCATCCTCGACGCCATTGACAAGGTGACGCAGTCGGTGACGAGCCTGATCGACGACGACGACTTTGACAGCGAGGAGGAGGAGAGCCTGCGCAAGGTGGGCGAGCTCATGACCATCAACCACGGCCTGCTGAACGCGCTCGGCGTGTCGCACCCGCGGCTCGAGCGCATCAGGGAGCTCGTCGACCACGCCGACATTGGGTGGACGAAACTCACGGGCGCCGGCGGCGGCGGCTGCTCGATCACGCTGCTGCGGCCGGGGGCGCCGGCCGACAGGCTCGAGCGGCTGCACGGCCAGCTCGACGACGAGGGCTACGTCAAGTTTGAGACGACGCTCGGCGGCGACGGCGTCGGCGTGCTGTGGCCGGCGGTGCTCAAGAACGGCATGGACGAGGACCACGAGGGCGGCATGGAGATTGACCTCGAGAAGTTCCTCAACGCCGAGGGCAACGTGGGCGTCGAGCGGCTCGTGGGCGTGCACGGTGGCGTGGGGGAGAGGGAGGGCTGGAAGTTCTGGCGCGTCGAGAGCCTGTAATGGGGGTGCCAAGGAGCGACGACGACGGCGACGACGCCGACCAAGGAGAAGAAGAAGGAGAAAAAGCCAGTCAGCAGGGGAGACGGCCTCGACCGAAACACACGAAGCAAAAGGGCGCATCATGAGGGTTGGGGGAACTCGCCTCTGCCCGGGGGGGGCGTGTACAGTATTCCTTTCATGTGGCGTCAAGAAAACGGGGCAGGTGGTGGGCGGACTGGGCCAAACAGGGTCAAAGCCAAGGAAGGCATTCATTCGCATTTTTATTGTTGTATTGCTATCATGGGAGGGAGGAGTATTGCGGGGTTCGACCAGCGGCCGTGTCGAGGGCTTAGACGACGTACCTTGCGGTTCCCAGTTAGATCCATTTAATCATCAGGCTAGAAGCTGTTTGGAAGTTATGACTATTGGAAGGTATGACTATTGAAAGTTATGACTATTGATTGATTTGTATGGCACTTTGGGCATGTGATTGTTCGACCCAAGTAATTGTTCGGCCCAAGTCATTGTTCTGCCCAAGTCATTGTTCGGAGCCCTTTCTGGGTCTCCACAAGGCTGGCGGTTCCCGCAAGGCTGGCGGTCCCCGCAAGGCTGGCGGCCCCTGGAAGCCCCTGGCAGGCCCTGGCAGGCCCTGGCAGGCCCTGGCGCTGGCTTCTGGTTTGAGCAATTCTCTCCAGCTTGAGCTCACCAGGTGCTACAGCTCTAGCTCCCAACACCAGGTTTGCCAACCCCTCTCTCCATCGGCGCTGCCCCCTCCCCCTGCGCTCTTCCGACACGACATGCCACCGAAGGCAAAGGTTGGCTCCAAACCCAAGGAAGCCGAGACGAAGAGTATGTCCATTTCCTATTGTTCTCGTATTGTTCTGGGCAGCCCGGCCTGACCCCTCCTCTGCATCCTGCCTACCCTCATTCTCCCTCAGCTCAGGCTTGTCACATATAATCCCCCTCACTGCCAAATCATTCCGATTCACCATTCACCGACTCTTCATCACTGTGCTTCCCTTGCTCGGCTCTCCAGACTCCTTTGCTGACTCTTCCCCCCCCCCCCCCCCCCTCGGTCCAGCAAAGACGAACCACTACCCCCGCCCCCAAAAGCCAACGAGCAGACCAGGGACCGGTTTTACGCAACCAACCCCGCCGAGGACCGGCGGGAGGAGGTCGGGCTCGACGCCCTTCCGCCCGCCGGGGGCCAAACCTGGGGCAACGCCGCCTTCCTCCCCCGCCTCGCCGCGGGGCAGGTCCACCTGCCGCCCAAGGGCGACCGCGGGGTTTGGAAAAAGGGCCCCCGCGAATCGCTGCCGCCGCGCGGCCTCCGGGCCGGCGTCGAGAATAAAAACGCACGCCTGGGGCCCCGACCGCCACGGCCGCGACGTCGGCGACCTCCCGCTCGACCAGTTCGCCGAGCGCACGCGCAAGCAGGCGAGCCTCGCCGCCCTCGAGGCGCTGCACCGCCGGTTCCGCCAGAGGCGCGAGCTGGCCGAGAGCGGCCTGCTGGGACCCGACGGCAGGGCGCGCGCGCCGATGACGCGTGACGAGATTGACGAGGAGAGGCAGCGCCGCCGCACCATGGCTGAGCTGAAGGAGGCGCTGTATGGCGAGAAGATGGGGCCGTACGCCACCGACCCGGACTGGGATGACGTCGTGCCCGTGTCGTCGGATGAGCCCGAGGGGTCGCTGGCTGCCATTGCCTACCCGGAGCACTATGCCGAGAGTATGTACTGCCAATGCCCGCACAAGGCGTCCTGGGGATCGCCCAGCAGCCAATACTGACACGAACAACAAAGTCATCAGCTACCTGCGCGCCGTCATGGCCGCCGAGGAGCACTCCCCGCGCACGCTCCGGCTGACGGAGCACGTCATCGCGATGAACCCGGCCCACTACACGGTGTGGCTGTACCGGTTCCGGATCATCCAGGCGCTCGACCTGCCGCTCGACGACGAGTTTGCCTGGCTCAACGGCGTGTCGCTCGACCACCTGAAGAACTACCAAATCTGGCACCACCGGCAGCTGCTGCTCGACCACGTGCACGCGCGCATCGGGTCGGACGCGACGGCGGTCAAGAAGCTCGCGCACGACGAGTCGCACTTCCTGCGGCTCATCCTCGCCGAGGACACGAAGAACTACCACGTCTGGAGCTACCGGCAGTACCTCGTGCGGCGGCTCGGCCTCTGGACGAGCAAGAGATTCGGCGACGCAGACTCTCATCGAGGACGACGTCCGCATCAACTCGGCCTGGAGCCACCGCTTCTTCGTCGTCTTCAGCGACCCCGCCGCCTCGACGCCCGGCGCCCACGCCACGGCGCCCGACGCCGCCGTGCCCGCGGCCACCGTCGACCGCGAGATCGCCTACGCCCGCGCCAAGATTGCCCTGGCGCCCCAGAACCAGGCCCCCTGGAACTACCTCCGCGGCGTGCTCGTCAAGGGCGGCCGGCCGCTCGCGAGCGTCGAGAGCACGGCCGTCGAGTACGTGTGGCGCGTCGGCGAGGCGGACGGCGAGGATGTGCGGAGCAGCCACGCGCTCGACTTTCTGGCCGACGTGCACGCGGAGAAGGGCGAGACGGACGAGGCGGCCACGTGTCTGGACCGGCTCGCGGACAAGTGGGATCCCGTGAGGGCGGGGTACTGGCGGTATCGAAAGGCGCAGCTCGCGTAGTGGGTGCTTGGGTCTGATGCTTGGGTCTGACGCTTGGGTCTGCTGCCTTGGGATGCTTTAGGGGTTCGGTATCATGTCACGAGCCTTACTCAAGTCATGAGAACGATGGTCTGTTGAAAATGATAAATGTCATGTGAATCAATGCAGCCGTGAACTTTCCGGTCTATAGCAGAGCACGAACTGCCAAACGCCTTGCATGCTCTGCCCATGCCGATCCCAAACGCCCACCCCTGAGCCCTCCCCGACCAGCTACAGGCTGGCAATGCAGCCACACCAAATGTAGCTATAAGCAGAAAACAGCTACAGAGAGCGAAAGTTCTGGCTCGAAATGAGCCAGCGGCGGGCCCCCTTGGGCGCGTTCCGGCCAAAGGTGTCCCAGTTGGGCACGAGCACAAAGACCTCGTTGAACGTCTTGGCGGCAGCCTCGCGGCCGCGTCCGTAGTAGAGGCGGCCCGTGACCTGGACGAGGACGCTGCACTTGGCGCCCGTCTTGTCGGGCGTGTCGGCGATGCCGGGGGGCGCGGCGACGACGTAGTCGGGGTTGACGACGTGGGCGTCGAACGACTCGAGCTCGAGGCGCACGAGGGGCGTCGTCGAGGCGGCTGACGAGGAGGAGGAGGAAGAGGCCTTGGGGGCCGGCACGCCGGGGAGGGGCGCCTCGTGGTAGTGGTCGTCGAGGAGGCGGGCGTAGGCGGCTGGGTCGGTGAGGGGCAGGCCGTTGATGGAGAGGTCGGGCGGGTGCGAGGCGTAGGAGGTCGAGGCGGTTGTGTAGAAGGCGGCGATGGCGGAGGGCTTGCGGCGGTTGAGGGCGTCGTAGTAGGCGTCGACGAAGATTTTGGCGGCTGGCTTGTCAGCTCTGGCAGCATCTACAGCTGTGGCAGCATCTACAGCTGTGGCAGCATCTACAGCTGTGGCAGCATCTACAGCTGTGGCAGCATCTACAGCTGTGGCAGCATTCGACAGCTCTGACAGCTCTGGCAGCATCAGACAGAGGGAGGAGGGACGTACTGTCGCTGGCCTGCTTGATCTGGACCTCGCGCGTGGGGAGCGACATGGCGGCGGATGAAGCAAGGTAACACTGGATCGTCGAGGTAGCCGGTGTGTGGTCTGTATCAGCGACAGCTCTCTGGCTATGCAATGCTCTGCAATGCTCTGCAATGCTCTGCAATGCTCTGCAATGGCTCTGCAATGCTCTGCAATGGCTCTGCAAGAGACAGCTTTGTATCAGTGACAGCTCTCAATGGCTTGCAATGGGCAGCTGTGAAGAAGCAGCCTTGGACAGCTCGGAGGAGCGAAAGTTGGTGGGGTCGCGTAGATAAGGATAAGAGCTTGCACAGTAATCAGAATCACTCGACGAGCCAAACACTGTGATCGTCTCGTCGCTCCTGCTCAGCTTCAGCAGCATCCATCACCTTCCCCTTTCCCCTGACAACTCTCTCCCCTCGTCTTCGGCTTCATCACCTTCACTTCACTTCGGCACCATCACATTGGATTGGTTGGCTTCGTATGCCATCATGAGGCCGATACGTCTTGCTGCCCGTCTGCCTCTACGTCGCCCATCACAGACGACACGCTCCGGCTGGGTCTGCCCGTCTTGTCACCATGGCCAGATACGCCGAAGCAGCAGTGGAAGCAGCAGCGGCAGCAGCAGCGGCAGCAGCAGCAGCAGCAGCGCCAGCGACAGGAGTGCCAGCAGCAGCAGTACCAGTGCCAGCAGCAGCAGCAGCGGTGCCCACGCGAAGCCCTTCTACGTGACGTCGCCCATCTTCTACGTCAATGCCTGTATGTGACGTCTTGCGACGCCAGACCGTGGCAGATCTCCCCGCTGACAGCCAGACAGCCCCCCATGTCGGCCACATGTACACCATGATCCTCGCCGACAGCCTCAAGCGCTGGCAGACGCTGCGCGGCCGCGACGCCCTCTACTGCACGGGCACCGACGAGCACGGCATGAAGGTGCAGCGCGCCGCCGCCAAGCAGGGCATCCCGCCCAAGGCCTTCTGCGACAGCAACGCCGACAAGTTCCGCCAGCTCGCCGCCGCCTGCGGCATCGACAATGACTTTTTCGTGCGCACCACCGACGCCGACCACGTGGAGGCCGTGCAGCACTTCTGGCACCTGCTGCGCGCCGGCGGCCACATCTACGAGTCGACCCACAGCGGCTGGTACTGCGTCAGCGACGAGTGCTTCTACGCCGAGGACGAGGTCGAGCGCGCCGTCGTGCCCCAAACGGGCCGCACCATCATGGCCTCGATCGCCACGGGCAGCGAGGTCGAGTGGACCGAGGAAAAAAACTACCACTTCCGCATGAAGGCCATGCGCGACAGGCTGCTGCAGTTCTACGACGACAATCCCGACTGGATCGTGCCGCGCGCGCGCATGAACGAGGTCGTCAGCTGGGTGCGCCACAACCTCGAGGACCTGTCCATCTCGCGGCCCGTGACCCGCCTCGACTGGGGCATCCGCGTGCCCGACGACCCCTCGCAGACCATCTACGTCTGGGTCGACGCCCTCATCAACTACCTCACCAAGGCCGGCTTCCCCGCCTGGGCCCCGGGTGACGAGCACCGCGGCGGCTGGCCCGCCGACGTCCACGTCATCGGCAAGGACATTGTGCGCTTCCACGGCGTCTACTGGCCCGCCCTGCTGCTCGCCGTCGGCCTGCCGCCGCCCAAGCAGCTGCTGAGCCACGCCCACTGGACCCTCGGCAAGAAGAAAATGTCAAAGTCGGTCGGCAACGTCGTCAACCCCTTCCAGGCCATTGAGCGCTGGGACCTCGACACGATGCGCTACGTTATGCTGCGCGACGGCGGCCTCGAGAACGACGCCGACTACGAGAACCGCTTCATCTTTGCGCGCTACGAGAAGGACCTGCAGTGGACCCTCGGCAACGCCCTCAGCCGCATCACGCGCAGCACCAAGTGGCACGTCGCCGACGCCGTCCGCTGGGCGCGGGACCAGCAGGCGGCGCGTGGGGCCGGGACCCGGGCTTCGACCGAGGCATCTGCTGACGCACCGCAGGCCCCGCTGCGCCGCCTCGCAGCCCTCGTCGACGAGACGCCCAGGCTCATGGCCGCCGCCATGGAGACGGACCTCAACCCGAGCACGGCCATCAAGGCGGCCATGACGCTGCTCGTCGAGGCCAACCGGTTCATCGCCGACAGCGCGCCGTGGGACAAGACAAAGGTGCCCTCGGACGCGGCGCGCAACGAGATTGTGTTCCACGCCGCCGAGGCCCTGCGCGTCGCCGGCCTCGTGCTGCAGCCGTTCATGCCCGGCAAGATGGGCGAGATGCTGGACATTCTCGGCGTGCAGCCCGCGCGGCGGACCTTTGCCTATGCGACGTTTGGCGGCGACGTCGAGTACGGGGCGCGCAAGGAAGCGGCGCCGCTGCCGCGGGGCAAGTGGACGGGCCTCTTCCCGCCGGCCGTGGCGACGGAGTAGCTCTGGGCCGGCCGCATGGAGAGGTATTGTAACAGGTACACAGATGTACACAGATGTATAACAGGTACACAGATGTACACAGATGTATAACAGGTACACAGATGTACACAGATGTATAACAGAGGTACACAGATATATAACAGAGGTACACAGATGTATAACAGATATGTACAACGGATGTACAACAGAGATGAAAATAAAGATGTACGAGACGAGGTGTACAAACATGGAAAAGAGGCACCAGAAGGAGGCATCAGTTGTATCAATTTAGGTAAGAAATAGTCAAGATGAGAGAATAGTCAAGACGAGAGAATAGTCGAGACAAGACAGCCAGCACCGCTCGAAACACATTCTATGCCATGGTAGTCATTTTAGTGTTTGTACGTACATTCGGCTCACGGTTGGCATCCGTCAGTCCCAGATGGTGTCGGCCATGTTCAGGTACGAGGCAGCGCCTTGTGTGAGGTTTTATCCGACCCGATTTTCCACGGCCATTTCCATTTCCACTGCCATTTCCATTCCAGCGACCCCAACCCAACATCCTCAACCTCGCTCACCCACCACGATCGCATCTGCCGAGCCGATCAGACCACAAAGCTCGATCAAGAATGAGGCTCAACGAGAAGACCGGTTCGTTGCATTCCCCCATGCATCAAAATGGACCACCCACTAAGCGACAACAGCCATCGCCACACCACAGGTGACCCTCGTCCCCTACGAGGCCCGCCATGTCGCCAAGTATCACCGCTGGATGAGCGATCCCGTACGTCCTCGTGCCTTTGTGCCTCCCGCGACTCTGCAAGGCCGTCTCCGCAGTGTCTGTGTCTGAACTTGGCTCCAGGACATCCAGGCGGCAACGGCGTCGGACCCCCTCTCTCTCGAAGAAGAGTACGAGAACCAGGCGTCGTGGCGCACCGCTGACGATAAACTCACCTTCATCATCTGTCGGCCACTAGCGGCTGGGGCAGCATCGACGGAGATCACAGCTGGCACGGCAGACCACGAGGACGCCATGGTCGGCGACGTCAACTTTTTTCTGTACCGCCATGACGACGACGACGACGACGATCAAGGCCGAGATGAGGGTGCTGCCGAGCCACCGGATTTCGTCGGCGAAATCGACGTCATGGTCGCCGAGAAGGGGGATCGGGGGCGTGGCGTCGGGTTCGCCGCCGTCACGGCCTTGATGGAGTATGTGCTCCGCCATGTCGACGACATACTGCGAGAGCATGGTCCGCGCAACGGCGCGAGGGTGCCGCGGCTGCGGGGTCTGATGGCTAAGATCCAGGCCGGCAACGACAAGAGCATGGCGCTCTTCCAGAGGGTGGGGTTCACGCAAAAGGGGGGCGTCAACTATTTCGGCGAGATGGAGATGGTGCTCGATCGGTTTGAGGAGAGGATGAGGTCGGGCGAGTTGGCGTGGCGGGCTGAACTTGAGGAGACGTATCGCGAGCTCGTGTATACGGCTTGAGGGGAGCTGGATGAGAAAGAATGGCAAGTAATTCCCTGTCCACCAAATCGCTACGTATCGACCATGTACTCCAGAGTCGGCCTTGATCAGCCCCAGCCGCATCACCCCTTCACCTCAGACCATGTGCGCATACGTGGCCTTGTACTCCTCAAGCACCTCGAGACTCACATTCGACCCTCCGCACACGACGACGACGACATTCTTCCTGCGCCACTCATCGTCCGACAGCCCGCGCCCGAGCGTCTCCCGCAACGCCCCGTTGTAGCAGACGGCCACCGTCGCGCCGCACGCCACCTCGACGACGAAGCGCGCATCGTGCGCGAACCGCACACACGCCATGGCCGCCTCGGCATCGCTGACGACAAGACTCTCGAGCCCCGCCGGTCCCATCTTGCGGCCCCCGTGCTCCGCCTGCCGGCGCGGGCCCAGCACGGCCTTGCGCCGCGCCCACTCCCAGGTCCGCTCGGACACGCGCACGGCGCCGAGGCTCGTGGCGATGGACGTAATGGCCGGCAGCGTGACGAGGCGTCCGGCCTCGACGCTCGCATGCAGGCTTTCGGCGCCGCGCGTCTCGACCGCCACGACGGTCGGCGGGCGTCCGCGCGGCCACGGCGCCGACGCGCCGCCGTCGCGCTCCACGTCCTCGAGACCCTGCAGCAGGCCGTTGACGAGCCCCGCCGCCGCCGACAGACGCACCAACTGCGGCATTGTCCACGCGCGGGGGCGTCTGGAGGATGATCTACCAGACTATCGAGAAGGGGCAGCGAGTTTTCTAGTTTTAAAAACGTGATAAATAACACGTAGTATGGGGGGAGTGTTCAAGAGATCGGGTGTTAAGCAAGCGCTGAGGTGCGAGGATAGGACCGGATTAGATTACAGATTAGAAGTGAGACACTTACTGCGTCAGATATCGACGTGAGCAATACAGAA